CCCCAAAACCCCAAAACCCCAAAACCCCAAAACCCCAAAACCCCAAAACCCCAAATTTTATTACATTTTTTGAAAATTTTAAAAGACAATAAATTATGTCAACAAGTGACCTGAACCAGAGCTCCTCAATCATGAAAGGACTTGATTATACTACAGCGAGGAAGATCACCAAAGAGATTAAGGATGGAATTGAAGAAGTTCGCAATAAATTTAGAACTAAGAAAACCAGGCCAGGTTTTGAATTTAAAAATGCTCCATCAATGGCTTCTTCTAATAAACCGCAATATAGTGATATTGCCTCTTCCTCTGATCTTGAAAAATCGCAATAAACACTTTTCAAAATAAATGGAGAATGCAGAGAGTTCTTCAAGAGAATCAAGCAGTTATCCCTAAAGAGAAGGACTCTTTAAAGGTTTTATATGAACAAAGAAAGGCAAATAATGCTAGTGTTAATAGTATGCGCGGAAGAAATTTATCTCCTTCTCATCAGTTCCTCCTAGAGTCAATATCGTCTCTAGATAAACTTCAAGAGTCGAGAGCTATTTCTCCAACATCTAATCAGTTCAGAGGAGAGAACTCTATTTCTCCTGAGTATATTCTCGATTCTCATAAGTATACAAGTGAAGATGAAGGTTCTCAAGATAATAATAAAAAGGAAAATTTGAAAATTGTGCCCAAGCCTAATTCGTCTCTATCAAGATTTCAAAATACGAGGTAAGCTTATTTTCTAAGTGAATAGGTTCCATGGAATACAGAAGAAAAAGCATAGATCTAGAAAAAGTATATGTAGTCAAAGAAGTGGGATTCCAACCTATTTCAAGGACGCAGCTGAGCTCTTAAAATCTAGAATTTTGAAACAGATCAAAAAGCACTTTGTTCATCTGCAAAAGTACTCCAAGGAGAAACGAAGGGAAGGAAATGATAATCCAGTTGTATCAGAGTAAGCCTTGCTTTATTATGACTCCTTAAGTTATATTTGGTCTGATAAAATCTGTACTTTAGAAGTAATGAAGAAATAATTCGTCCTTGAAATGAAAGTATCAAACTATATGAAGAGTCCAAGCATGGAACTATCTTGGAGCTCCCAAGCAAAGCTAGAGAGATTTCTCCTACTGAATTCCTTACAAACAATGATGATTATGGACGTCTGAAAGAAAGCAATGAGTCCATATTTAGTTTTGGCACTAGCAGAAGTACTCTTTTTGATTAAATTTTAGACTCTGTCACAAAACATGACCAGAATCACGAATTCATCAAATATAGCAGAGAAGTGCATAGCTCTATAGAAGAAGAGAAAGCATCTAAAGAACTTAATCTTAAAGGGTTCAAAGATTTTGAAATACATTTCAATCCTTCTAAAAGAAAAGAAGAAGCTCCTTCTTCTGACCAACAAGATGACCTACACTACATAAGTGATGGTAGACCTCAAAGCCTCCAAAGGAATAACTGACCTAAAATAATAGAAGGAATGCTATTAAAAACAGTAAATGAGCAAATAACCTTTAGCAACGGATGTATGAGTCTCACAAGTCCCCTCCTGAAAGCTGTAGGAACAAACTTGAAGATGCTTCTGAAACAAAAAAGTTCTTGTCAAATGAACTTAAGGACAGAAAATCTCGAAAGATTGATTTTGAACATATTGTATGTTTCAAAGCTCTAACTCTATATAGACAGATGATGAGATATTCAACATTGCTCATAAAGATAGAGAGGATTGCAACAAAAGCTCGCCTTTGAAGTCGACCTCAGAATTTGCTATTAAAACTAACGAGCTTATGAAAGATCTCTTTAATTCGAAAGAAGAGAACAAGTCTCAAATTACAAACTTCAAGGAACGGATCCAGATGATCAAAAACCAACGACAGAACAAGGAAGATAGGGTAAAGATTAACATGAACCAGGAGAAAATTTTTGAAAAGGTAAGTACCATTAGTCATCCATAGGAGGAAAACTTTGACAAAATAGTTACCTGAACCAGCCAAAAATTAGTAAACAAGGATACTGTTGGTAGAGATAGAATTGAAGAGGAATTTGCCAAAGATAAAAGCGATGGGTTTGAAGAGCTTCCTTCGACAATCTTAAAAGCTCCCTTCTCAAACTCAATAGAAGCTATTCAAGAAGTTGATGAGTCAGTATTTGCTTCTGATGAAAAATTCAATATTTCTCCAAATTGGGGAAGACATAAATCTAATATCTCAACAGGAGATGATCAGAAAATACCATTTACATTTGAAGAGCTTCCTTCACATCGAATTGGATCGGGCTCTAAATATAGAAAAATTAATGAGTTTAGCCAGCAGACAGACTTTCAGATAGTTCCTGAGGAGAGAAAAGACAGTAGCAAAAATCAGAATTCTAATGTGCAATCAATTCAAACAGAAAAGACTGTTCAAATTAAAACTCAAGGATTCCAGACAGAGAATATGCTCGAAGTCGTATCTCAAGGAATTCAAATTCAATCATGCCAAATGGATGAAGCCCGAACTCAAACAGAAAACAAAACACACGAGCAGCATCTTCAGACAGAATACGAAACTTTAGAAAAAGATCTTCAAACTATAATTGAGAGCAGAGAGCAGCATCTCCAGACAGAAATCGAGACATATGATCAGGATCTCCAAACTGAAGACCGAAACCTAATAGAGCAAGATATCCAAACTGAAGTGAAGCCCTTAGAAGAAGTAGATATCCAGACAGATACAATAAATAATACAGAAGTTGATGTACAGACTGAGATCAAAAGGTTCTGAGATAATCTTATCCAAACAGAAAATCCTATTTCGGAACAAATAATCCAAACACAATTTGAAAATGAGCCTAAAGGAATCCAAGTATCTTCAGAGATCACAGAACAGATAATCCAAACTCTCCCAGTCAAAGAACTTCTTGAGAAAGAATGTGCAAGTCAGTCAACACAATTCGAAGAAGAGAAAGTTTGTGTTGAAGATATGGCCATCCAGACGAGAGATAGACCTCAAACTAGGGATATTTGCCAGTATGTGTGAATACAAAAACCCACATCTTCCGCGGTTACCCAAACTATCCCTGAAGCTCCTAAAAGAACCCGAACTGGAGGAGTTCAAGTCTGAATAGGCAACAGAATGCATCTGAGGCAACTCAAACTAGCTAAAATTATGAACAAGCTGACTTTGGATACAGAAAGAGAAGAAAGTAGAATAGACTTCTTGTATTTCAGCTCTTTTACGGAATGGAAAACACTTTATCTTGAACACAAGTTGCCCGCTCCCAAAATTATTGACTATCCTAAATGAATCCCAAAGCTTGAATCTAAACTCTCAAATATTCAGAGATCCCTTATGTCAACAGTATTCTCAAGATTCAAAAATAATACTATAAAATGAATGGTATTTGACCAAGAGAAGTCTATCTGAAAACAAGAGAAATATGCTGAATTAGAAGAAGCTGTGAACCAACTCATTAAACAAAATGAGTCCCTTCAAAATAAACTCCTTTACTACGAAGACTTGATTGAAAAGAAAAATTTTGACATTAAATCCAGGAAGCAAGAAAATAAAGAAGCTCATAAGAAAATTCAGGAGCTAAAAGTCTGTGTTGAGGAGTTTAAGAATTCACGTAAGAGCTTAGGCTCCCAAACTGGCAGAGGGGATTCTACTAATAGTTTCAAATCTGATAGAAAAGTAGGTATAAAATTTTTCTAACACCTAGAATGACTCAAGTAATCTGAGTATCTCAAATGGCACAAAGAAAAGTAAATATTTCAACTCTAAAAAAGGTAAGATAACATATTTATCCACATTTTAGGAACTAAACAAGTTATAAAGAAGCTGAAGATAGTGTCAGACTCTCAAACAAAGTCTCTTAAGAAGGTCAAAAAGACCAGCTCAGTGCAGAATTTAAAATCAAATGCTGTCGAAAGATCTCCAGAAGTACCCTCGATCGGTTTCGATTGCACGACTTCTTCCATTGAGAATGGTCCTCCTAACATTCAAAGCTACAACAAGGGTAGTGGGAAGTTAATAAAAGCGGATTCTTTCCAGAAATACATGACCAATAGCTCTAGACAAAAACATAGTGAGCTTATTGATACTTTTGCCCCTGAAAAACAAGGTGAAGTCAGAAGTGATAACACCATTGAAATTTGAGAGCAGAAGATCGAAGCTGTCAGAAGAATGAACAAGATTATCAAGAATCACATTCTCATGAATTATATGATCAGATGGATAGAAAATGGCTTCATGCATTTTCCTGAAGGAAGTGTTAGTCCTATCCCAGAAAAGGATGAGATGCTAGAATACTCAGCCATTGAGAAGGAGGATGATAACTTCTTACATCCTATCACAGAAGAATCTATTTGTGATATAGATAAAGAACTCTATGGTCCAGATCACACTCAAAATCAATTTGAAAAATATAGACAAGATAAGCTAAAGAAAGTTCTTCAAATATGATTAAACATTGATAATGACCCAGAAATTATGAAACTAAGGGCTTTCAAAGAGTGGAAAAGACTAGGAATAAAGATTTCTCTTGAAAGGCTCCTGGAGTATCGCCAGACCTTGGATAGGCTTCAAACAATGCCCCTCAGCGATGAAGACTATTATTGTGAAGAAGATTCAGATCTTTCTATGACATAAGTATCATAAATTAATTGTTTTCAATCGCTCTCTAATTTTAGGGGTTTTGGGGTTTTGGGGTTTTGGGGTTTTGGGG